GCAATTGATTTGATAAAACTTCCCCTGGCACAATATTGCTTGGGAGCGACCATTCTGCATCCTTATCAATGGGCAAGTCAGTAGCAATAAAATTTTTTAAAGTAGCCAATAAGCCCCAATTACCATCATTTTCGCAGTTGCTGTAGCGTGAATGGAGGCGTGAAAAGTTATTTACGAGGAGACTTTTAAAGTATGGTAAAAAAGTTGCGCAGGTTGGATTAATGTTTCTGCTACCATGCTGTCGAACTTGAGAAAAGAAATTTTCCAAACAATCTTGGTTGAATGTTCTGACAGCAAATTTTGAAAACCCGAAACTATACAAATTCTTACGCAACAATTTTAAGCCCTCCAACGTTCTAATCCAATTTTTTAGGACTACCGGCGTTTCCTTATCCCCTGCTTTCCTTTTAAGGTAGGTCATTGTTCTTATAACACCTATGGCTTTATTCCACATGTCTTCTTGCAGACAAGGTCCTTCAGTTGGAGTTTTAGCTCTCAAAGGTTTTTTACATTTATGTCCTACAATGCCTCCATTCACACTATCAAACAAATCGTCTAAAAATTTTATTAATTGGGCAGTGTCATCAGCATCTGGGGGCATTTTTTTTTGACCACAAATGCTGACGGTTCCATCACGTGCCATGAGGGACATAGCTGAGGCCACAGAAGTACTGAAAACTTGCGTACAAAGAGAGACTCGCATCTTTCTGATCTTGGCAGGAATCACATGGGACTCTTTCAACTTAGGCATTATACGCAAATTTCCACTACTTGTGTCTATAAAGTAAGCCGTTTCTATATGTGACCATTTAGCAATTCGCCATTTTCCGTCCAAATTATATTTTAAATTCTTGGTTAACAAATTATTTCTAATGCATTTAATTAGGTGGGGAGAATCAAATAATGGTACAATTTCATCATTTCCAATGCAAATTATATCATTTCTAAATTCTTCCCCTTTTCTTAAAGCATTAGCTCTGCTTTCATTGATTAATTCTTGAACTGCTTTGCAGTTTGATGAACCTTGGTCACATACAGAAGCGACTACTTTAAGGCCTATTGATTGGCACTTTAAAACAATTTCTTTGTACATTTTTACTAAATTTGGCCACGACTCACCCGATTTCGAAAAAGTAAACGCTACAGGTTGCTTCCATGGTTTTGCAACTGACACACTTTTTAACATCCAAACGCAAACATGATCAGCGATAAGCTGCTTTCGATTAAACCCGTCATCTGCAAAGCCTTCTACAATATCTAAATATTTCGAAAAAGTTAAATTTTGGTCAAGAGACATCTCATCAAATGTCAAGATGCAACATGTTTCTGTGATTTTTTTGCCAGAAAGTGCCTCTTTCAGGCTCTCAAAAATGGCTGTGCAGATGCCAGGCTTAATTGGAATGTGTCTAATCACTTTTCGTAAAGTTTCTGGACTAGGAAGTGAAAATATACTACACAAAAACCTATATGTTTTGGCACTCATTTTAAAAAGTGACAATGCAAATAATTTATCTTCTATTGTGAATGTTTTCTGATATTTGTTAGTATTAGCATTTCGAAGTTGTAATTTAATAAAATTGCTTATTATAGGGTTGGTGCTGTCCAATATATCCCACTTCCCTTCCTTTAAAAACTTTTCAGCAATATGTAGCCTTTCTTTAACTGAATCATGTCTCTTCTGACACTGAGCAGCAGCTCTGCGAAGTTTTACGAATTTTTCATAAAAAATTTTCGCATCTTGTGACAGATGTTCTTTTCTTGTGACATTTGCAAGAGTCAAAAGAGACGCTGTAACAATTAATTTATGTTAATTAATGGTTTAAACCATTTACCTATTTAATTAATTTAATTGTAAAAAAACTATAAACAGAACTAAAATCAAAATCAATTATTTTTAAACAATTAATGGTAAAAAAATTTAATACATATAAAATATCAGTTATTTTTTGACTACTTTAATAATAAATAACTTACTATAAACAGAACTAAAATCAAAATCAATTATTTTTAAACAATTAATGGTAAAAAAATTTAATACATGTAAAATATCAGTTATTTTTTGACTAGTTTAATAATAAATAACTTACGTTTAGCTGCCACTTCACCAGATTTTCTTTTCGCAAATTTTTTAACATTTACTTCTTTTAGTGCAAAATCAGAACTTGTGTCATACACCTTTGATGTTGAAGGTTCAGAAAGAAATTCTTGATCCTCAATGATAAATGATGGTCCTGCTTCTGGTTGAGATTGTAAAGACTTGGGGTCTTTAAGAATTGTTGAACTTTCCACATTACTTCTTTTCCTTGGAGAAAAACGTTTTCTAGGCGATACTGACATGTAATCTGATGTTTCAAAAGAGGTAAAAATTTTCGGACATTCAGCAACCTTTGTTTTGGCAACATTACACTGCCCTATGTCAATAGTTTTGTCACCCTGGTAGGTACTACTGTCAATTGGTTCTAAAATACAAAAAAAATACCCATAAATTATGATAAATTAAATGGAGTGAGTAGGGGGTAGTTTAAACACTTAAAAATTACAGCAAAGAAAAGGATATTTCATAATTTTATTTCAAGGTAAAAAAATATATTATTATATTTTGTTTTTGAAATCAAAAATAATTTTAAGAATATTAATTTTCTTTTACCTGGCCAAAATTTATTTTTACATTGTTATAGTCTTAAGGTAAATTTGGTTTTAAAATCAATTATTAACCAAATTTACCTCAAGACTAAAACGTAAAAGTAAATTTTGGGCAGGTAAAAAATAGTAACATTCTTAAAATTGTATCTAGGTAGTTAAAAATTATTTTTATTACTAATTAATAAATAATATTAAGTAATGCAATTAAATATGAGACTATAATAAATAATTTTATAAAATTAAAACTCACAGTAATATTATATATTATGTTATTTTTTTCATTAAAACTCACAGTACCTAATATTATATATTATGTTAATTTTTTCATTAAAATTTGATCATTTAAAAAACCTTTGCGAGTTTTTTTTTAATTTAACATTTAAGGCATTATCCATATTTAGTATATTCTCAGAGAAAGTATAAATTTATGAATATAACAATATTTTATTATAATAATTATTATTATTAATTAATTTGTAAATATAATATTGTCTGTCTAATATTTGATAAAAAAATACATACCAGGTAGACATAATGTTGGTACAGCCTTGGGGAAAAGTTGCTTGCCCTTTATCCGAATGTATTTTTCTTCAAAGTGTTTGTGGCAAATAACACGTCTTAAAAGGCTTTCATGAGGCAGGCTTAATAACTCTCTATTACCTGATGCAGCAATCCATTTTCTTAATGTCTCCAAATCAGCTTTCTTAGGAAATCCATGCATGGGTTTTTCGTAAGCTAAGCAATTTAAAACACAACAGGGCCTCCCTTGATCCATATCTACAAAAACAAAACTATACTTTACTAAAAATTATAAAAACAAGGACAATTAAGTACATTATTATTACAGTTTGTTTAACATTTCATATTATAGAAACCATTGAAAAACTATTTAAACTAGGTAACACAAAACAAAAGTGGTTTGTAATTACATTCGTTAAAAATTACAAAATGTTATACACATTATTTAAAACAAAACAGTCAAAAATTAAAGTGGTTCATAATAAATTGCAACTTACCGAAAGTTTTAAAGCTGAATTTTCTAGGTTAAGTCACAAAATTTCGTAGATTTGTTCCAAGAACAATTAAAATACGAATATTATTAATACTTTGGAACTATACAACAAATTCCAACACAACAAACAAAAAAAATACACAACACTATAAAGAAACAAGTTCTACGCTTCAAACTATATGTGGCGATTATAACCTAACAACACTCTTTTAAACGTTAAAATATTCTACCTAAATATTTTTAAACCTTGAGCTGTGATTGGTTGGCATGGTCCGCCACGGTTTGTTCTGTGCCGCCATCTAGTTCCTCTGCTTAGACTAAAATTTTACGGTATCAAGCCATCCTATAGCAGATTGCAGGCCCTGGTGCAGTTACTGCAGTAACTTTGTAAATTTTGTTGGTTATGGGCACAATTTTGTGTTGTGTGGATTGTGGTTATGGGTATATCAGAGGCAGGGTTGGGTCAGTAGAAAACCTTAGGTAATTTACCTTGGTAGAAAAGGGTAGAAAACTTGTTTTCGACTTGCGTCGAAAACCTATAGGGTTTTCTACCTACGTAAATTACCTTATTCGACCTCCTTTCACTTCTCTATAATGATAAAAATTTGCCATCATGCCAAAAATTATGTTGGGGTCTCCCAACCAAACGTGGCCCTTTTTTCCCACCATAATAATGTTAAAAAACTCCAAATAACTTCAAATTTATGGTAGGTGTCTGATTTTTCACAACATTTAACAAATCATAATAAACAACAAACTTGCATAACCTCACATTTTTTGATATTTGACAGTATTTTACTTTTTTACGTTTTCTACCGTCGAAAACGTCGAAAAAGGTTTTCTACATGTCGAAATCAAAAATGTAGGTAGATACCCAACCCTGATCAGAGGGGAGCAACTCGTGAGGTCTAAACTGACCGAAAATTTACATTTCATTTAAGAAAAATGTGAACCAGACCTTATTTGAAGTGCGACGTTGCCACACATTTTAGACCCATCGCGCTTTTAAATTTTAGACCCATCGAGTTTAGATCTCTCGTGTTTGGGTGTCACGAGCTGCTCCCTAAGGCACAATCCAATGTGGATTGTGCTTTAAGGGAAGTAGTTCAAATGAACCAATGTTACCAATTGTATATATATCCCAGATCACAATCCATGTAGATTGTGTTGTGTGGATAGTGTCCTATATCAAGTTTTTAAAATAACAGCTTATACTCGTATTAGAATAAATGGTACATTATTTTAAGTTTGTTTTTAGAAATGATGCGTTTAATCATTATTATACTTACCTTTTTACCTTTCAATGGGAATAGGAAGGGAAATACTTTGAAATAAAAAAGAATAATTTAGGAAACATCCTAATTATATATTTATATTATAAACACATTCACACGTACAGTAGTTTTGTTGGGATTATTTTCCTATGATGAAACACAGCCTTTTTGATACATCGGGAAGATTTGAGAAAACTGGACGAGATATCAAAAAACTGTTTTAATAATTTGAAATTTTCGATTAAAAAGTGGTTAGAATATAGTTTCAAGTTGGCGAAATCAAAACTAAATTCCTGACTTAAAACTATGCTAACATATTAAAATTTTGAGACACCAAAACAATGATAAAAGTTCAATTTCGTTGTAAATAATGTACAAATTCATTTCGAACCAACTATACATTTTAAAATAAATAACGCGTTTTTCACTCACTGTTTACGGGATACACTGATTGGATAAAAAGTGACTAAAAAATTCGCGTCAGCTGCCAAAGCAGTTAAAATACAAATAAGCACACCGTATACTATTATTTTTTATAATTAATTATGTTGACTGATTTGCCGAGTTTTTACGTTTTTTTTTTAATTTCAAATTCGAAAAAATGAAAAAACTCGACAATCACATTATTAACAGACTAATGGACAGCCAGGTTTTGCTAATCTACACATTTACGAGTTTAAAATTCCATATTTTTATTTATACAATCACTTCTTCAGGCTGTCAAATGTTACCGTGTATTTTTTTAATGGCTAAATTAAAATCGAATAAAATTGATCAAGTTGATTTTTTAAAATAAAAAATACACAATAAAACGTAGTCTGTCGCTTGTTTGGTGCTTTTAAAGCAAAATGATTTACAATATGAAACTATTACACTTTTTAATAAAATTTTATAGATATGTAACTAATCTAAAAAGCTAAACATTAGAAATAAAAAATATATAATTACAAGATACGATACAAATGTTGAATCACCATCGAAGAAGACAGTATTTTGTGATGGATTACAATTTGATTTAAATGAGGTTATAACAGTAGGACTCATCTAAACCCTAAAAATCTATTACACTACTAGGTTGTTGTATTTTATTTTACAATGTATGATAGTAAAAGGTCATCAACGACATATAAAAAATTGTCCGAAAACTTCCATTCTCTTCCACTAAGTTAAAAATTGTATCGATATTATATTATAATAAGTATTACAAGAGAGTATTTAAAAAAAACGTTTTTGTGTTCTGGACATGGTCTAATTTCTAATTTTTTCCAAAAATGGCAGTCGAGGTCACCTTTTTTTCTTTATCTAAAACGCTTTATTTTTATTATATTGGTCGTTGTTGTAGTTCCCGCTGCCGGGAATGATCCAGTTTTTGTTGTTTTATGTTGGTATTCAACTTGCAATTAAAGTTCACTTTTTAATATTTTTAGTTATGTATAAAAACGTTAAACGAACAGAAAACGCGCATCTCTCTATTCCTCAACCGTGGCTGGAGTTGATTCCTAGAAAATGGAGAAAAAGAATGAACTCGTTATCGTACAAGTACAGAAAAAAAAAGAAAAAAAAACACTTGTATTTTTAAAATGTTTTTTTTCCAAAACCGCTAGGTGTATCTCAATAGAGTAACTCTAATCCAACAGGACACTACATGTATGTAAATAATAATTTAGTCCAATTTTGAGTTCTTAACAATAATTTTAAAAACTGTAACAACTTCGTTAATTTTTTTTCCATTAAAAAAAGCATGTCGGTAAATCTTGCGTTTTTCGTTGGATTAAATAAAACTCAGCGCATGAGTTGAAACACAACTGACACAAATTTTAATAAAATTTTATACAAACTGTTTATGATACAATTAAAAAAAGGTCAATATTACCTAAGGTTTTACTTCATACTGCAGTAACAACCCTGTAAAATCCTAAATTAAAAAAATATATTTGGAGTCTGCACAAGTGGATTAAAAATTCGGATTTTTCATAAAACTCGCGTTTTTGTAAAAAATAATCTGTATTGGTAATAATTAAAAGGCTGCTAGAGGATCACTCTAATGTTATATAAAAAATATTATTGGATTTTTAATAATTTTTTAACAAAATTGGCAAATTTACATAAAAACCTTTCCGCTTATTTTTTACCCAGGTCTAATATAATCTGTTCTTTAAAATTAAAAATTATACCTAATTGTTAATAAATTTTATTGATATTAATTATATACCAATTTGTTTGCGACTTGCCCCTGTAAAATCTTTATTTATTGTGTCATTTTAAGTGTAGAACTTGATAAACTGTATTTTTGGAGCAAAAAACACCATATTTTTACAAAATACAATACTATGTCAGTTTTGGAGAGTTAATTTTTAGGAATTCATATTAGCGATTAAAAAAAAATCTGCACAGCACTGGATTCACCTCCCCCTCAAAACGACTCTGTACTAAATCTTGATTGATTTTTTTAACAGGAACGATTTTGTAGCTAAATTAAAAATGCCTAGATTAGAATTAAAATAATAGTAACATGGTAAAAATATGCTTATGCTTAGTTTGGACAAATAAAAAACGCATTACAAACCATGAAACAAAAAATAGAGAATTCAAAAAATTCTCGTCTAGGGGCTACGGTAATACAAACCTGCGCAGCCATTGAAATAAATGGTGGATTAGTAGAAAATTGGAGAGAATTTTTGGAATTCTCTTTTTTGTTTCATTGTTGATTTAAGTTTCTATTGCGTTTTTTATTTGTTAAAACTAAGCATAAGAATATTTATATTAGTTTAATTTTATTTCAATGTTTTTTCATGGATAACTTGACAGAATAAATTGTTTTAAATAGTAATAATTGTGCATTTTTAATTTAGCTAAAAGATCATTCCCACTAATTTTTAATAAAATTTAGTATAGGGTCGTTTTGATGGGTGGTGTACTGGATACTGCATAGATTTTTTTTAATCGCTAATATGAATTCTAAAAAATTTTACTCTTAAAAACTTACATAGTGGCCCTTTTATTTTGTAAAAATTTGTCGTTTTTTGCTCAAAAAATACAGTTTATGACATTAAAGTGGTCCTCTGGCAGCCTTATCCAAACTAGGTACGTCATTTAGAATATTTTTTACAAAAACACAAGTTTTATGAAAAAATCGAATTTTCAATAGGTACATTTGCGCAAACCCCAGATATATCTTTTTTAATTTAAGATTTTTCAGGGTTGTAACTAGGGTTTTAAAATTTCCGGAAAAACTGAGCCATAGAAAAAAATGGGTTTTTTTCGGAAAAAATAACGAAAAAATTGGGATATTTTCAAAAAAATTGACTTTCTTTTTTAAAATTGTATTTAAAGGGTAAAACGAAAAAATGCAAAAGTCAATATTTCTAAAAATTATCAAATTTTTAAGGATAATATCTGTACGCTGATATCGAGAAAAAAATGAATTTCCGACGCTGGTTATAATCATAATACATAATATGTATAATATATTATGATTATAAAAATTATTCCTTTTATTTTAATTCAGTAAGGATATTCTACCGGGCCGGTAAAAATATTCGATGCTGTATTAAAATAACTTTTATTTCACGATTTAAAAATTATAATTTTGTAATTTAACTTTATAAAATTTATAATTTAATTATTCTTTATTTTGTAGTTGGGTATTTTTAATGGAATTATTTTTGCAAAAAATACTCAACCAACAGTATATTTAACGTTTACATTTATTTTCTTAAATCAATTTAATTTAATTCAATGTTAAGTTAAATTTATTTGTGATAAAGGGTATTTTTTTTAAATTAAAATAACGTTAAGTTGTTAATTGCTACTTTTTTCAAATGTGTATATTCTCAAAAAAAAATTCCCATTAAGCCAATTTTTCCAAGGCCAAAAACAGTTTTTTCCAATTTTTCCGGTTTTTATCCGACATTTAAAAACCCTAGTTTAAACTAAAGTAAAACCCCAACCTTTGACTATGATTTACTTATGAATAAGTAATTTTATCTTAATTGGTAAAAAAGCTTTTTTAAAGCGTTTAATTTCATACAAAAATATGTATTGGATATAAATATACAGCCTAACCCTAACAGAACAAAAATAAATGTAATAAGTAAAAAAAATACCATGTTATTTAAAGGAAAAATGTATCGTGTTTTCGGAAATTAATATTAAGAACTTTTTTGGTTTTATAATTTTTTTTAAATATTTAGGGGGCGCTGTTGGAAAAAAATGAACTTGGTAAATAACCCGCTTATAATATGAAACCCATCTTTAAATTCATCAATTGTGGGTCAATATTAAGAGCTTGGTTTCTCACTAAGGATATTATGGACTTTGTTGTAAAATTTGTATTTTTACTAATTTTACGAAAAAATTGTAGCTGTAGGTGAAAAAAAATAGATCTACTTACTGCCACCACAACTTCTGTAGTTTTTTCAGCACCCTCTTGTCGCACTTCCTCAATGTCTACTGGAACCTGAAACACATCCAATTTAGAAAAAAAATGCGTTTTTCCTTCTGGTTGCTAATATTTTTAGTTCCACTATAATAGGCCTATCGGTTTGTTTGCTTGTTATTAAAACGAAATGCACTAAAAAATCTAACAATCCCTAATAACGTTCACAAATATAACGCTTCGTTAGTGAGGTAGGTATGGAAAGTTAGTAAGAGGAGTCATTCAAGTTAGCACAACAATAAAAACACAAACAACGAACGAGAGGATGAGGAAAACGCAATAATAATAAGAATAATTAGAGAGTGTTCGAGGTTAAGGGTTCGGATGCAGTAAAAAAGACACAAATGTTGGGCGCCAATTTGTTTTCTATCAATGTTATTCACCTGTTTGATGGGTCCTGGCGGTGGCACAGGGATCTCTTCCGCGTCCGCCGCGGTCGGCGAGTGGATTCCATTGGTGGCGGCGGCGTTTCCGTTTGTGAGCGGCGGTGCCACCTGCTCGTCGACTACGGGCGAGGGAGGGGAGATCGGTTCCGGTGCCGATTCGACCGGAGGAAGGGACATCGGTTCCGGTAAGCTTTCGCTAACCGGTTCCGGTAGAGAGGGAAGAGATTCGGTCGAGATGTCGGGTAGGGAGTCGGCGTTTGCAACGGGTTCGGAGGAAATAGAAACCGGCTCGGGAAGTTGCTCGGAAATCGGTTCCGGTAATGGAGATTCTACTTTTTCCGCGACCGGTTCCGGTTCCGGGATAACTTCTTTTTGTTCAACTTTGGGTTCTTCTGCGTTTTGGACGGGTTCGGCTACCGCAACCTCGACTGGTTTGGGTTCCTCTACTATCACAGGTTCTTCTTCTTGTTTAACTTCTTCTTTGGTTTCTACTACTTCAGTCGGGGATACTACGGGTTCCTGTTCTTGCGGAGCCGCCGGGGGTTCAGGGAGAGGTTCAGATTCTAATTCTTTGACCGGTGACGCGGGGGGTTCTGGCAAACTTTCGGGTACCGATTCAACAACGGGGACAATTTCGGATTCTTGGACAGGTTTGACTGTAGTGGAAGGGGAAACCGCGAGCGGAAGCGATTCGACTAACTTTTCAACAACCGGTTCGACAACTTTTTCGACTACCGGTTCGGGCGCGGAAGCGGATACCTCGTCTTTGGTCGATTCAGCGAATGCCGTCACCGGGGAAGGAGGGTTCGAGGACGGTAAAGGAGGCGGAATTTCCTCGCTACGCACCTCTTTGCTTTCCTCTGCAGCCGGTACCACTGAAGCAATCTCCTCGACCAATGCTGGCTCCTCGACGACAGCTTCTGGTGCTGGCTCGGCAACTGGTTCTGGCACTGTTTCAGGAGCCTTCACTTCCTCGACCGCAGGTTTTGCTGGCTCTTCGGCAGCTTTTGCTGGTTCCTCAGCGGGTTTTGCTGGTTCCTCCACCACTTTGGGTTCTTCGGGTTTCACCAGCTCTTCAACGGAGGCATCGCCGTTGGCTAAAGGAGCGGCTTCTTTAACAGCCTCTGGGGTTTTTACTTCTTCTCCTTTTGGAGATTCGACAACTGGAGATGCGACAGTTTCTTCAACATTCTAAAACAAATTAAAATCAATTAAAACCAAATACTTATTAAAATGATCCTTTATAAGATGATCATATAAAACGCAGATTTCTTTAAAACTGAACTCTTTTGGTAAGGGAATCTTATTATAATCATAAACTCAGTTTACTGCTTTGAATGAGTATGCAAATTTGTCGGGGAGGCAAACTCAAAATCGTTGGGCGCGTAGCGTGAGTAGACAAACAACAGTGTCGTGGATGTTGACAATTATGTTTGGGCCGACTTCGGCTCCAATTGAATTAACGGCGACAAGAGTACAAAAGAGCGTCCGTTGCATACATGATTGCTCTCAATTCGCAGACATTAACATTAAATTTGCCTGCCCGGCTGCTTGATGCTGCCGCTGTACGATAACCCCAGACAAACGTCTATTCTCGTTGTTGTTTGCATACATAACAAAGCACTAATTTGATAGCTAAAACGTCTTCAATCGCGAACATACAGATCAAAATAGACACGTCGATGATTAGTGATTTTTAACAGCCCCGATGGTTTATGGCGAATGCCACGTTGGGAATTTACGATCGAATATAAATCATATAATTTAGCGTAAGTTTTGAGTTCGTACTGTCGATAAATCAAAACCGGCGGATTTACGGCCGGTTTTATTGCATACATGGAGCAGCACCGGCTTAAGGCAACAGAGAAGTTCATTTGAATGGTGTAATGAAACCCTTACTTTCGCCAAACTGAGATAATAACGTCAGAAAATTTCTGTGGTTTCTGGGATCAACGTTTTAATTTTATTTTTAAATCGCTAATTTCATACTAAACTTTTCATTTCTCACTATATTTTTAGGTAAGTGTTTGCATGTACCGGTTGCGGCAAAGGCCACGTCTTTAGACGATGTGGATCACGTGATGTTCTTACATCTCGCCTCTGTTAGCTTACTTGAGTAGTATATAAGATCAGGTAGTGTTTTGTTTTGGGTATGGTCCACTACACCAAGTTGCCCGACACTGATGAGACCCAATATAGGTCCAAACAGCTGTCTGTCGGTATTTGAAGTTGGTGGAACGCACTCAAAACAAAAAGTCTGTCGAGGTAAAGGTTCAATTCTTTCTTTTGCAGAGTTCTTTATTAAATAAATATTTTAACTTTCCGCATTTTTTTAAATTTAAACTTAAGTATCGTTGGTGATAAGCTGAAATTTGAATTAAAATGTTTAGAAATTGGCACAAGAAAATAGGTTTTCAACCTTATTGAAAAATTAGAAAAATACAATGAACAATTTTGTGATAACTGAAGCTAATAATTCAAAGCCATATAAATAAATGAGAAAACCGATAAGAATAAGAAATTTGAGTGCATTTACTGAACCACGACAATGGATTCAAGTGGGCAGAGGGCAGTAATTCATAGGAATGAATAAAAGATAATTTTCAATTCGTCTTCATCAGCGTACGCTATAGCAGCAGCATCGGCAATATTTATTAATAAATATTCAGAAGACGACCTCCGGAGCGCGACAGAGCCGGGAAAAGCTATTTATAGTACAAACTGCATTCCACCGTTGCAAGACGCTGTAATGCATAGCCCAAATAAATTTTATGGCATGCAGCGTCAATCGCATACTATAATTTATACACCTATGGCTCAGTATTAATACAAAAATGTCAATTGAGAATAGGTATCTAAATTGGTTGTAAAAAACTAAAGAAACTAAAATAAATAAATTCAAACACTGATTAAAGTTAATATCTCTTTTGACTAAGGCTGACAAAAATGAATAATCGCATTGTCATTAACAATACTCTTTGATTCATCGATAAAAATTTGACCCCTTCCGTTGAAATTCCGATAATTACTGATTAACCATAACTGCATTAAATCGTTAAACTTTGCACTATAAATTATTGTTCTTTATTAAAGATTGTTATTTGCTGCCAATTACGAGGTTAAAGCTTAATTTATTAATTATTAAGTTGTAGTGTGCGTCCATAAACTCCTTCTGTTTACATATCTTGACCAGAGTCAATTAGGTTTTTGTTGAACGTCTATTTTAAGCTTAGTCAACAACATAGTTGTAGCGTTAGCCGGTCGGTAGCTCATATACCGACCAGGAAATGACATAAAACCGATAGCGCTATTAATAGAAAAAATACTATTTGCATTACACAATAAGAAATTAAATTCCGAAACTACATGTTCAACAATACCTTTAGTTTTTTTTAAGGTAGTATCTTCATTTAAAGAATTTCCATAAAATGTATTCAAAATTTAACACATAATTTTGTATATTACATTATATTTTGTATGGAAATCTTAAAAAACAATTTGTAACTCTCTAAAAATTGTCATTTTAAATTTTGTGCTGCCATCTTAAGAAAAGCACAAATATGACAGTTTTAAACCTTAATTTTGCAATTATAACAACAACTAATAATTTATATTGTTACTTATTGAATTTTGGTTGTTTTATTTTGAAATGATAATAATGGACTCATTATACCCGTTGTTAGGTATCAATGATTGGCCGATCTAATTATACACGGTGATTTTGACCAATCGAGTTTTAAATTGGGATAAGGCCATCTGCAGATCATGATTTATTCATTTTTGAAATAATTTAAGTGTTTACTAATTGAAGTAAATAAAGTATAGTATTACACTCGAGATTAGGTGCATTATTCACACGGATAATTTGCCTGCGTTATCTCTCTTTTAATAAATATTCTGTGCGATAAATATATTTATAGTCATACAGTCATTGTTATGGCCCGGATATCATACACAATATGCTGATGACTAAATTCAATATACATTAAAGTACTTAATGCATAAAATGAAGATTGCATCGAGCTAAACCATTGAACTCGTTGATGGTCTCAACGAAAAATAAATTGGGTATGAAATTTACGCCTTGACCTTTCAAGAAGCTTTCTTCCTATTAAATTTAATGCGCTTCTAATTTAATTTGTACTTTAAAGGATAGGATAATAATAAAGTATTTTTGATACGTCATCTTAATTTTTTGTAATTTAGAAACGTATAATAAAAGATCATCGATTTCAGAGGATAATTAGTCAAACTTTTACAGTTTACAAAACATTTTAAATCAAAAAAATTTCCCGGTTGGAGAAATTGAGAAGCTTGATTAAAAAAGGATTAATAGTTAAAGTTAAAAAAGGATTAATATTCAAAATTAAAAAACTTTAACTGCATCGACGAAAACCAAAGTTAAACCAGGGGCGAAGCGAAGGTTCCGATTATAGGGGGGTGATTTTTATTAAAATGCCGAAGATTTTGCCGAATTTTAAATATTAAAATCAATCAATACATTAAAATAAAAATCCCAGAGGCAAAAATATTCATTCGGCTTATTAAAACATTTTTTTCTACTACATGTTTCCATGACACTAAGTGATCTTTTAAATACACATTGACAAGTTGTGGCTTTACGGCGCTTTAGTCACGGGCTGAAGTTAGTTTTAAGTTAGTTGACAGTTGTCAAATGTCATACAATCGTTAAAATAAAGTGCCTTTCTTGTAAAATATTACTAAATGTGAAAATTATTTTATTATCTCAATACAAAAATACAAAAATATTAAATAGTTTCTCAACGCCAATATTTGAAAAGTTTATATGAACATTGTACTGACCTTTTAATTTCGCCGGCAGTAAACTATAACTTAAATTCGGGCACGGACTCTACTGTAAAGTCCTCATAAAACATTTCCTTTACTTTCACTGTGAAAAACTGTCAATTTTCAAGATACATTTCGATTTATAACCTTTATAATTTTGTTTATAAAATGTAAAAATATGACATTTGACAGTTTCCCCTGTTGTTTCATAGATGGCGCTCTATACAAATTTTTGATTTAAATAATTTTAAGATAATAATAAGTATTTGTCGTAGAAAAAGTATAGTATGCACCTCGTTTATAAACTTTTCTATACACTCATTAACTTAAGCACTCGCTCGCAAGCTCACTCGTGCCTAAATTAAATTCGTGTATAAAATGGCGTTTATCAAACTTGATACATAATATACTATTATAAGGGGCACCAATTCGATAAAATAAATTTGTCTGAAGATCAATGGCGTAGCTAGAACATATTTCGCCCGGGTATGGAATAATCCGTTATACAAATTCCGTCAAATGTATGACTTTTTTAAAGTTTGGCTCACGCCAAGTACTAAAACTGGTATTCTAAGTAAATTAACCTAAATATAAATAAAAAAACGTTTTTTAGACTTGTTTTTCAACCATTTAGTTGATTTAACCATTCACATTTTTAAAGGTAATTGTGAACTAAAAAATTACCATTGAAATTTACCAACTGGTTGCTATTACCTTAAGGTAAATTCTAAGGTTATTTTTAGTATAACCTATTGTTAAAATTACTTACTAGTTAAATACTTATTTGTTTTTTATTCTTAATTTAAACTCTTAAAATAACAAAAATTTACCTTATTTAAAAAGTGGGTTATTTTACAGGTTACAAAACGTTATATTTACTTTTAATTTTAACCAACAAAAATTTTAAAAATCAATTTTAAACAAAATGGGCAAAAAACTGTCCCATTGGTTTTTCTATTATATCTCTTTTCAAGAAAATATTCAGAGACGACATTTTATTTCAAATATAAACAAACCATAGTTTAAATAAACTTAAACCGGATAATGGTTATACTTTATTCTAAGTTAACTAAAGAGTTTAAAAAGTTAATTTAACCAGTGGAGGTGCTACTTCAGAATTTAACGAAAGCCGTTAAACGTTATCTGTTGACTTATCAATTCGATTGACGCTGGATTCCAACGGCTGGAATCACTCGCAAATGCAAATTCATTATTCGGCATTTACAAAATACACGAACGATTTAAAAATTTTACCAAATCATCAAACATGACGATAACGATTTGAATTTCTATTCAAGTTTACTTTATCAGCATGAGTTTATAACTAAAAAATGTTACCAAATCATCAAATATAACGATAACTATTCGAATTTCTCTTCAAG